CCTCTGAATGCGTCCATGAAGCTGAGCAGCTCGCAGCCTCCCGTTTCATCTACGAGCAAGTCGATCCTCGGCACGGGATACGGATCCATCGGGCAGGCCTTGTTGAGATCCGAGTAATCAACGCACATCCGCCACGTGTCGCCTTTTGGGGCTAACACCACGTTAGCTAGCCACTCCACGTGGATGACCGGCCGGATGTGTTTGATGCTGAGGAGCGTAGCCGCCTCCTTCTTGATGAAATCTCGCCGCTCGGCTGCCATGTATCTCTTCTTCTGTTGGATAGGTTTGGCATCTGGCCGTACGGCGAGTCTGTGGCATATGAGGTTGGGGTCTATGCCAGGCATGTCCTCCGGCCCTCTGGCGAATAGGATTTTGAACTTCCGGAGGATGGCTATGACCCCCTCCTTGATCTCAGGTTCTAGGTCAGCCCCGATGGACACCTTTCTGTCCGAGGGGTCATCCAGCTCTACTTCCTCGAGCAGGGTAGCCGGTTCCAGACGAGCGTCGAAGTCAGCCTGCCTGGCTTTCTCAGTGATGCTGTTGACCCGGGCTTCTCGCTCTCTGAACCTCTCCATGGCCTTGGTGTAGCAGGCCCTGGCCATGTGCGGATCCGTGCGGGCAACTCCCACTCCTGTCTCGGTGGGGAACTTGATGCATGAGTGCCGCACGGAGCAAATGGCCTCAAGATCCTCCAAGCCGGGGCGGCCTAAAATTGCGTTGTGGGCACACTTCAGGCGGACCACGACGAACGTCATCCGGATGCGAGTAGTGTGGGGTCCATCCCCGATCTCCACGGGGAGGCCGATGGTGCCTTCCGCATCGATGCAGTCCCCTGTGAAGCCCGAAAGAGGGGTGCGCAAGGGGGTCAGCTCATCTTTCCTCAGCTTCATCCCTTCGAAAGCCTCCCAGTATAGGACGTTCACGCTGCTTCCCGTATCGACAAGGACGCGTCGGACGATCGCATTGTTGACATCCATGCTAATCACCAACTCATCCCTGTGAGGGGCCGGTGACATCGGTAGGTCGGCCGGTCTGAAGGTGATGGCCTCCACCTTGTTCTTCTTAGCGGGGGGAGCTGATATGGAGCCCACATAGAGGGACCTCTCAAACTTCTTCCGCTCCGCAGGCGTGTCCCCAGTCTCAGCGCCCCCGAAGATCACCTTGATCTCCAACTTCTTCTTCCCACCGTTCGGGCCGAGGGACCCCTCCGGACGTTTGTCAGCACTCCGATAGTCTACGTCTTTCAGTTCCGCCTCGCGCCGATTGTCGCGGCGCCATGATCGCGACCTGGGATTCGGCTGCCTCGGGTTATTCTTCTTCAGCAGTTGGGTAAACTCGCCCAAGTAGCCTTGCCGGATCAGTTCGTCGATGGCCATTCTCAATTGCTTGCAGTTGTCGGTGAGGTGGCCGACCCTCTGGTGGTATTCGCAGTATGCGGTCTCATCAAGACCCATAAGCGCTTTTCTGTCTTGGGGCTCCCTTAGGATGCCCTTGTCTTTGATGGCTTCGAAAATCTGGCTGATGGGGTAGGCCAGAGGGACGTGGTACTCCTCCGGACGTACGCGGCTGGCCTCCGGATGAGCCTTCCACGGAACCATGCCGCCGTCCGCCTTCTTCTTTTTGCTGGGGGGGGGGATGGTCCACCTCCGGGGCCGAGCCTATCCGCCAATTTTCGGGAAGGGGCTGCAGGCGCGCCGTCCCTCAATCTGATCTCCTCCTCAATGGAGGCGTACTTCTGCGCCCGAGCCAGCACCTCGGTATAGCTGGTGCTGGGATTCCTCCGAAGGTCCCGATATAGGTCCCCCGTTGCTAGAGCACTGGTGAACATGTTTACTCCCAGCCGTTCGTCCAGGTCATCCACCTGGAGCACTTCGTCTCTCCATCTGACCAGGAATTGGGCCAGAGGTTCGTCCTTCCCTTGCTTCACACTCGTGAGCGATGTGAAGCTCTTCTTGGGGGTGGTTCTGGCAGCGAATTGTGCCATGAACTGCTGGGACAGCTGTTCGTAATTATCAATGGATCCGGGTCTCAGCTGCCCGAACCATTCTTGTGCCGGACCCCTCAGGGTGCTGAAGAAGAGCCGGCAGATGGCCTCGTCGGATGCTCCCAGCATAGAGAGGTTCCCCTGGAAACTGATCAGGTGGGCCTTAGGATCTCCGGTCCCATTGTATACTATCCCCTGGGGGGGGGCCTGCAGTCCCGCGGGATTTCTGCATTCATGACCCTCGGAGTGAAGGGTGAAATGAGGGAGAAACGCGGCATGGCTGGGGTGGCCTCCGCCCGTCTATCTATTTCGGCTAATCGCCGCTCCATTGCCTCTAGCCGGGCCTCCTGTGCGGCCCTTCCGGGGGACACAGGAGGGGCGGCCTCGAGCGCAATGTTCCTTCGTGGGGCAACCGCGTCGGGTTGCCTCCGTGTGATATGGGCGCCATGTCTTTGGAAACGTCGTCCAATGTTACTGGCGGCGGGGGTATTGGCGGTGCCCCGCTGCTCGGAGGGAACATCCGGCGTGCGTCCCCGGTGGTCATCCTGCCAACCATAGCGGGGGGTGCTGGCGCTGGTGTGCCCCCCAGCTCCATGGGAAGACGGATTCTGGCCCAACCTCATGTGGATGGGCGTCCGGCGCCCGGCAGATTCTGCTGTCTCATCCAGGGACTGCATGCGGCGGACGGGTGATATGGGCGTCCAGATGGTGTTAGCTGAGTACACCTCTTCGTTCGCCTCCTGTTCGTCCGCCATTCGGCGCATCGTTTCCGCCAGCTCCCTCATGAGTCGAGGGTCATGCCTGGCCTCATGGGGGATGAGGTTTGTGAGGCCACCCTCACCCCCAGTCGTCCCCAACGTCTCGGAGCGTTCCGTGGTTTGCCCGCGGTTGCTTCATCCGCGGGACAGCTGCTCGGAGAGGTCGCGTTGGCGGTTGTTTCTTGTCATCGTGCTTGCTGCAGGTAGATTCAGTAGCTGTTTGGGAGAGGTCGCGTTGGCGGTTGTTTCTTGTCATCGTGCTTCCCACAGACGGCGCCAGTGTTGAGGTTTATTCCTTCAACCCCCGGGTCCAACACGTAAGCCCAAGGATTTCGAATGGAGTGTGTATGATTAAACTAGCCCAACAAGCAGATGATATGGATTAGAAAGGCAGGAAAGTAGCAAGTAAGTGATTAGGTATTATTATCTCTTAATAACTCCCTAATACAATACTCTTTGCTAAGGCTCCGTCGGCCGTTCGTCTTACTAGGCGGTTAGAAGTGCTGCGAGTAAGAATGCTAAAGCTAGAATGCTAAGAATAGAAAGTTGCCAACCCTTTACAATGAAATAAATGCTTCTATTTATACCCACCAATGGGCAGGTGGCTATGCTGACGTGGAGGCCTGTGGACCGCTTGTGTCCCAACCACCAAATCTTCTGCATTAAATGCACTTCCCGCCAGAATCTAGGTTTCCCGCCTAAATAGTGGGGACGTCCGTCCGTCCGGGAAGCGAGCTAGATTCCCAAATGTGACCCTTAAGAGGCTTCGGCAGTTCGTCCCCTGGCCTTAATGGATTCTCGCCATGTGGACTGGATTCCTACTGGTAGAATTACGGGTTCGCTCTGGGGACGTTCGTCGTCATCCCTGATGGCTCGTGGTCCTGCTCCTTGTCCCTGCACAGACGTTCGTCGCGATGGGCCATTGAACCTGAATCCCCCAATTCCAGACGTCCGTCTTTTCCCAAGGGTCATGGGCCTGCGTCCAGCCTGGTGTCCTAACCGGACGTGCGTCCGATAGAAAAGGGTTAATGGGTCGGACCTCGGTTTGGGCCATTAACCCAACAGTGCCACCACATGAGTCTCAACCCGATGTAATATTAACATCAATGAGCTTAGCTTCCATCAACATCAAGAGTAACGTGGTGCTCCGATCACCCCTTGGTGCTCCAGTAAGAATGCGGAACTCCGTCCGATTTCTTGAAAGATACAAAAATGCTGGGAGCCTATACCTAGAATCAAAGTCCATATCGTCCAATAACTGATTAATTTCATCAGCCGGGGTAAGTGGTGTGTCATTAATTGAGCGTCCAAGCTTCTCAATACCAGATGATAACATTCCCTCACACTTTTCAAAAAACAACTCCATATCCACTTTAGACTTACCCCTTTTTTTTGCCACGTTTAGCACCACTTGAGTTAGCATGAGTAGTACCTGATTCCACATCAACAGTAGCTGGAGAGGTTTCATTAGCACTGGGGGAGCTAAAACCTACAATCTGAATTTCATCTTGCTCTGTCATATCGTCAATATCATTGATCATACTACCTGAGCCAGAATATTATTGTGTAGATGCAACTCTTCTTGCTCTGATTTCAGAGGCAGTGTCAACACCTTCTCCAGTAGCCCTATCCTTGCCATATAGTTCTTCCATCTTCTTATAGTACGGGATAGGCTTATCTTTCCATATATGTGCTTCTGGATGAGCCTGTCATACAAATGTGAAGAACTATAATGCATGATGTATAAAATACTAAAACCTATGTCACTATCTAAAGATTTACCTGAACAAATTCATTCCAAACTTGTGGCTCAACCTCCCATGTGTGAGTATTCTCATTATAGCCCCAACCACTTTGAGATGCATTTTTAAATAAATCATATGCCTTTTGCCATGTCTTCTTTAGAGTCTTGACTCTATTCTTGAACTTATCTTTATTCCAAGTGATGTTTGGAAATTTTTCTTCCAATTCCTTCAAAATCTGATTATAAGCATGAGCACTGAAAGTACCATTAGGGCGATTCCCTAAACGAGTTTGATTAAGATGAGAATCGAGTAGGAATTCATCCATATCACGTGTCTAATTGGTTCTTTCATCAGTTGAAGTAGCATCAACTCCTTCGGTGCGGATTCTTTTTGGAGGCATTACACTGTCTTTATTTATAAACAAATAAAGTCAGTAAACAACACAACAAACTAAAACAAGGTTACATTGATAATAATTCAATAGAATATAAACTATTTTAATCTTGTGTTGTAGAACAAGGAGGCAATTCATACAAGAGCCATGAGCAAACAAATAAACAAAAAAAACAAATTCGGAGTTTTAATAACTAATGTATTCCAGAGATCAAATAAGTCTAACATATTTAATACAATTCACAAACACCTAAGTGGTGTAATCCCGCCACATCCATTTCCGATACGATCCCTAACAACTTGTCCTCTTGCAACGTCATCTTCTTCATTAACATCATCTGCTTGGTTTTCATGTTCGACATCAGTTCTGTTGGCAAGTTCTTCATCCACTTCTCTGAGTATATCTTCATCAGGATCGACGCCCATAAGAAAATTATGTAAAATACAGCACGCTAATATGATCCTTGTGTGCCTCCTAACATCAAATTTTGGTTCATCTGCGTTAGCCATAATTGGAAATCTCTTTTTTAAGACCCCAAATGCTCTCTCAATAGCATTTCTGAGCGATGAGTGTCGCAAATTAAATAGCTCACGCATAGTCTTCGGTGGGTTACGTGAATACTCTTTCAAATGGTATCGCTTCCCTCTATACAGTGGAATCAAGCCACCCATCACGCCAAAACCAGCATCACCAAGATAGAACTTACCTATGAAAAAAAATCTATGAATTAAGTGTTTACTTAATGCGTTCATGGTTTACATAATATTACAATTTTGGGTTATATAAAGTACCTCGTGGAAATTTTAATGGACATGATCGCTTCAACGAACTTTTTAAAATTCGTGAGTCAGATGCTGTTCCTTCCCAGCCAGCTACGACATATGTAAATTTTAAGTCAAAGGTGCATGCTGCTAAAACATTTTGTGTGGTATAATCTTTTCTTCCACGATACCTAGGAGCATCTTCAGCAGGGACTTTAACTCACTACTAGAATTTTTCTTATTTGCTGCTACCCAATTGCTGCGGTTCTTAGTTAAAACGCAGCAAATAGTCAAAATTTATAAGTATTTGCTTCGGTTCTACTACAACCGCAGCAAAAAGTTGGATAATTTGATACTTTTTGCTACGGTCGTATCGGAACCGAAGCAAATACGTATAATATTTTCGAATTTCAAATATTTTCTGACCTTTTTGCTGCGGGTAAGGGAAAACCGCATTAAATACCTGAGGCCATATCAAAACCTAAGTGTAAATCTTCATCCCTCATCCAATCTGCCGCCTCCTACCCTAATGAGAACTACGCCGAGTCTACAGAACAAGCCCCAACCCTCGTTGGAAAAATTCACCGCTGCCCTACAAGATAGGTGTCGCCGGTGTCCTCCCAGTCTAGCTGATAGTCGCCTCATATAGAAAACAAACCGCTTCTTCTGTCTCCTTCCGTCTCTTGCCGCCGCCTCTTCTGATCCAGGCGTTCATGGACTCGGTCTACCCGGATAGCCGAGACTCGTCGCCCGTACTCAAACAAGCCCTCCAACACTACGGCTCTCACGCATATCTCTTGCTGTCCAGCCCTTCCCTTTGCCGTATGTTCTTCTTCTTATAACTTTTCCCTTTTATAGATCTACAATTATTTAGAATTGTCAGTGGTATTTTTTATGATGCCAGAACTTCTTCTTGCGTAATTTTTTCTTGGAATGACATGTTGATGTTATTTAGAACAGGACCTGAAGTTTCAATAGGTTCTTCACCATAAAGAAAATAGAGTGTAATTTAAGGTTGTTGTAAAGTTAGAGAATTTGCCATATCGATCAGTTAAAAGTTAGGGGTTATTATTTTCCTTTGATGTCTTAAAGTGAAATTGAGTCTGCTTTTATGTTTCCCTTGATAACGATAAATAGTTTAAAAAGCATTGAAGTCTGATGATAAAATTTGAAACATATGAAAGTGAAAGTGAGTCTATTTTTAATAATAACATTTTGCAGCTGATTTATTTGCTTAATTTTTCTGAAGTGCAGTTACCATGTTGTCAATCATTTCCTTGCTCCAGAGCTTTTTATATTGTCAATAGTTGAAATGGATCTCCAACATACAATTTATTGGTTTTTTTAATCTCAGGCAAGAAGTGAACATTTCTGTTCCAACACTTCTGACTCTTAAGATCTTTAACTATTTATTGGGTGTTCAAATGAGTAGAAGAAGAATGGAAGGGCAAATACTCCATGGGAGGAGAAGAAGAATGTCCTGCTTCATCTTCTTCAGCCTATATGTCCAATAATTTATTTTCTTAGCTTTCCTTATGAGTAAAAGGATTTTTTTAATCTGGCCTTAATTTTCTGTTTTGGTCGGGTACTTTTGCAGAGGTGTTTCTGTAGAAAACTATGTGCAGAATATGAATTTTTAACAAATTAAATAATACTCCGTATGTTTTTATTGTAGGCTGGCCTGAAAGGACGTGCAGCTCGGCCAAGATCAGTAAAATATTTTGAGCATTGGAATTGGATGCAATTCATAGCACTATAGCAGCTCAACTTTACACTTTTTGAATCATTGTCCAGGTACATTAATAATCAAGCCTCATGCCGTTGCCTTTGGTTATCTCTTCGAATTTTCTGATTCCTTCCCTCACTCTGAATGTGACAAAACAGCAAAAAAATATTGTTACAGGTATGTCAAGATTTTAAGAATCTTTCTTTTTTGGCTTGATGAACTATTTAATTGGCGGACCTTATGGCATGTAGAGGAAGTACTCCGTATTATTTGGCCACATATTAATAATTTCTACAATGTATTGCATTAATATTCTAAAAGTTTTTTTTTTACTTGATTTGGAAGGAAATGGTACTTCTAGCATATTATTGATAAATTTGTGCTGCAGTGTAGTCCATACTCCATGGAATATTCACAGTATCCTTCTGCACCTAGGGAACCAACCTCTTTAGCAGCTGCAGTATCATGGTAAACTGATTTGCTTCTTTCAAAGTTTTCTTGTGTTCCATTTCAATGATTTACATCCCAACCAAATGTTAACAGTGGAAGAGAAACTAATGTAGACCATGAGATTTTGGGATTTAAAAAACTGGAATGTCATTTTTTTCAATTATCATAAAAAATGTAGTCTAACTTGGTATTTTTGATTTAGTTTTTCATTCTAAATCTGTGCAGTTGGTACATGGAAGCTGCTTTTTTCATTCTTGCTTTTTGGAAGCATAGTTGCAGCAAGGAATATATGATTGTGTACTATGGGTGACTATAAAGTGTTTGAATCAAGTGGAGATGCGTGAACGACTGCTGGCATGGTGTGTGTAGAAGTAATGTTATGTGATCGACACGCATGGATCAAGAGTCTGCACAAGTTCATAAACAGAAGTAGTAGTAGGGAGTAGTACTACATAATTTGTGTTGTATTCGTTATGAATTTTGGTGTTGTATAACTTGATTCTTTCTTGTAAATATGATCTTGATTTTGTGCGTGCGAATGGAATATGATCTTAATTGTTCCGTATTTTTTATTTAAGAGATTGTTTTATTAAAAAATCAAATTTGTGAATTTGGGTAGCATCGTGAAACAAAATAATGTGCAAATAATATAGAGTTTTTGTTGCGGTCATTTATCTATTTGCTGCGGTTCTGAACCGCAGCAATAAGTTGAAATTTATTTTTATAAATAGCTATTTGCTGCGGTTCAGAACCGCAGCAAATAAGTTTTCCTATTATTTGCTGCGCTGCCAATTGCTGCGGTTCATAACCGCATCAAATAGATAAAAATGACCGCAGCAAATAGTTATTATTCTAGTAGTGACTCGCACATGAGTTCCATCAATTGGTCCCACGCAATCCTAATAATAGTTATTTATTCTTGAAATAATTTAAAATAAATACATATTCTGAATTAAAATATAAACTATTTAAATGTAAAAAGTTAATTGTCTTCACCTTGAAGTAGGGGTAGAACTTTGGATCATTCCGGATCTCCGCTGGTGTGGACAATCCATTTGGTTGTCTAATAAATTTATCTTCTAGTTCTATGACAGCTCGTAACACATTGTGAAAATGACGACTGATAACTTCTCCAGACCTACCAAAAAGTTTTTGTATCTGCCTATTTGTAGAAGCATGTCCCACGGTGTATAAAAAAATAGCAACCTGTTCTTCAACATTAACCCATCGAGTTGATCGCAAACCCCCATGTTTTCCTAAGAGCTCACAGAACTCATAAAAAGCCTCTGGACTCATACGAATCATATCTCGACATATCACTCTATTTTTCATGACTTCTCTAACCACAATTTTAACTTTCTCAGATTCTTGATGAATTTCAAGATCACTATTATCAGAGTCATCAAACATGCCATCCTCCATGAACATCCAATATGTGGCAATCATAGTTACAAACCAAGTAACGAGTATTCCAATTGCCGCATTAACTAACTCTTCCTCATGGTTAGCCATTTATCTGAAACCTTTACGTTATTATGGTCAGTCATCTATCTCAAATTTATCCCTTTTATCTACATTGTTTATATTTTTTTTACTAATCGAAGCTCTTAACGCAGGGAAGATGTTTTAAGTTTCAAATGTTGACACTGAACCTCCTCCTTCTCAACTAATGCTAGCTTCCCCCTTCATTTTGGTATAAAACTTAGTAGCAGGACATTTGTTAAGCAGCTTTGGGATGAAGAACACGAGCATGTAAAAAAATTGCAGAAAAAGATTTATAAAACACCAGCGTAGTAAGAACATAAAATAAGTCTTGGCCATCTCTATCCAATGCCTAATTGAAACACTTTTCTATTGTCATTTTAGGCTTATGTGGATCGCAAGAGAGTATATAGCAAATTAAATGCTTTAAATTTCTAAACAAATGAAAAGAATAGGGCTGCCATGAAAAAAGGAAGAAGGTTACTGAATAAAAATGGTAATAACTTAGTAAAGTAGCTAGAATAAAAATGTTAGTAAGCCATCATGTTTTTTAATCGTAGGTATCATGATATCATGTCTACTCCTCAACTTTAGTGAAGCCTATTCCTATTTCCAGAATTTGATTTCTATTACAAGTAAAGATAGTTTAGATCAAAACTATGTTGATACATTAAAAACTATGTTTTCAATTAAGATGTTGGGTTAAAATTTAACATATATTATCATTAAGTCTTACCTAGACATTTTAACAAACACCTAGTATCATCACATATGCATTTGTATATAAGGCACACATATATAAATATATAATCTCAATCAAGTAAATCAACAAGATTGCAGCAAGTTCATTTGTAAACCCTACGTAAATCAAGATATTATAGCAAGTATGTATCCCAGTCAAGTAAATCAACAATATTATTGTAAGTCCATATATATTTAATTCAAGTAGCACACCCATGATAAGAGATAGAAAAATACCCTGTGATTAATGAAAGAGTAAAAGGAGGAGGGAAGAAGAATAGAGCAGAAGAAGAAAAGAGGAGGAGAAGAGAAGAAGAGAATAGGGGAAGAGAATACCTGATGTTGCAATGAAGCTCCAATCGATAGAGAGGCTGATGGCGGGATGAAGTTGGCGGCAGAATGAAGGTAGGAGAAAAGAACGTGTTGATACTGGAGGGAACGTGTAAATAATGGGAAGGTTGGAAAGGGTTATAATGAGAATGGACAGGAAAAAATAGTTTATGCGAGAACATCACTCAGCAAACCCCCCAAACTATTTTATGCGAGAACATCACTCAGCAAACCCCCCAAATCGGAGGTTTACGTATTTGGGGTTCTTCCGGGTTTTGAGAGGTTAAGTGAGGTGAACTCAAATTTATCAATAACCTAGGTTTTAGTAGTAAAAATGTAAACAAACAAGGTTAGTTAAAAATTAAACCTCTAATAACTTAGGTTAACTCCCATCCAAACATACCATATTAGTGTAGATGCCATTA